GAGGAAATGCAGAGGGAGAGCAATAAAAGATATCCTTTTTTAGAGGGAGCCATTATGGGGTTAAGGAGAAACCCGGTGCTATGGAAATTCCCAGGAATCCCCAAGGATGACCCAAACTAAGACTTCTAGTATTACTGGAAAGGGTATTTGAACAGGCCTAACCCTTTAATCAGAATGATGACTCCCCTAATTGTCATTATGGAACTTTCATGCAGTAACTTACAGAAGCAGCTGCAGTGACCTACAGCCAAGCACTAGGATAAGCTCCTGGAATTCAGATGAGGGATCATATGAATAGGAGGGTCAAGATCAAGATGGGGAAAACCAGAGAGACAGCTGACCCAAGCTAGTGGGAGCTCAAGGACTTAGGACTGACAGTTGGTAACCTTGCATAGAACCAACCTAGGCAGTTATGTGGTCTGATCTTTTGCAGGTGCTGGGAGACTGGAAGTGGCACCAGGAGGTATCCCAGGTATATGAACTGGTTTTTGGACCCCATTCCCTATGGTGGGATCTCTTGCTCAGCCTTGGTACAGGGAGGAGGGTCCTGCCTCAACTTGGTGGGCCAGACTTTGCTGACTCCACAAGGAAGGTTTAACCCCTCTGAGGAATGAGTGTGGGAGGTGGAAGTGGGACATGGGGACTGGAGAAGGGGAACTGAGGTTAGTTTATGAAGAGAAGGGTTTTTTTTTTTTTTTAAATAAAAAAGGGTTAAAAAAAAGTTGCTGTGGTCATGACATCTCTTTGCAGCAATAGAAATCTTAACTAAGACAGAAGTTGGTACCAGGGACCTTGGGTCTGAGGATTACAAATCAGTTGAAGCAGATGGTGGTGGCACACACCATTAATCCCAGCACTCAGGAGGCAGAGGCAGATGAATTTCTGTGCGTTCAACACCAGCCTGGTCTACAAGAACGAGTTCCAGGACAGCCTCCAAGTCACAGTGAAACCCTGTCTCAAAAAACCAAAAAAGAAAGAAGAAAATCAGTTGAATGTTTTAACTTAATGGGTCATCCTAGTAGGAACCTGGAAGACAGTGATGTTGGGTGTGATTTGAATTGTGAAGGCCTGGCTCAAGAGATTGCAAGGAGGACAATATTAATATTAATTAATAGAAACTGTTCTTGTGAAGATATTTTGGTGAAGAATGTGGTTGCCTTTGCCCACGTCTGAAGAGTCTGCCTGAGGCTAAAGTGAAGAAATTTGGATTAATTATGTCAGTAGAAGAAATCTCGAAAAAGCCTGGTATTGGTTCTGTTTTATGGTTATTTCTGGTCTCTCTTATATATATATTTATCATGAAAATGAGCAAGCTGAGGAAGGAAAAATACAAAATGCAAAATTTGAGTGAAAAAGAGCATCAGGGAGTGGAATGGAGCTAAGTCTTATGTTCATGAATATAAAGATTAATTAACTTAAATTAAATATTTCTTAATCAAGATTAAAGATTTCTCAATCAAGGAGATTAAGAAACAGAATAAAGGGAGTGGTGACTTTAGGGCTTGATCCCACCCAGCCAGGTTTCTAACTTGTGGATAGGAATTAAAGAAACCCTTAAAGCAGATTGTAGCACACTTTTAATACCAGCACACAGAAAGCAGAGGCTGGTGGGAGGCCAATATTGTTTACAGATCCAGTTTCAGGACAGCCAAGATGAGGCAGTGAAAGAAAACATAAAAAATCGAAAGTTGGTAAAGATGTCATTGAACAAGGGCTTCATAAGTTCCAGCCCTAGTAAGCAGCAGAACTTGGCAGCTTCAGCCACATGGTTCTGGAATTAAGTAAAGTTCTAAGAGGCTATGGAATTTGCCTTCTTGACTAGAGAAAGCTGCTGAATGCAGGCATGTGTCAGGGTTGTTTCTGAATGGAGGCCTAGAGAGGCCATTGTATGAAGTTTTGAAGTTGAAGTATGGGTTACTTGGAGAACCCAAGGTGTTGGAGATTCCAGAGTAATGGGATACCTGCCAGAAAAGCTACTAAGAAGGAGTGGAACAAGCCCAAGAGAAAGAACAAAACTTCTGGAGCATTCATATCAGTCCTAAAAGGGACATTCACAGGTCTGAGTACAGATTTAAAAAAAAAAAAAAAGAAATCACACAAATAAATGACTCAATGATACAAGTCAAGGATTTTGAAAAAGAAAAATCAAACAAAACTCAATATTAGTAGATGGGAACTAAAAATAAAGACTGGGACAGGTATTAGTGGAACAGAAATAAAAAGCACAAAGAATCAATGAGTATAAAAATGGTTATTTAAGAATATAAGATCTTCTACAAGTCAGAATCCAGTTATGCCAACAAAAAGATACTTTCTTTTTCCATTATATAACTTTAGCTTCTTTGTCAAAAATTAGGTGTTTATAGGTGTGTGGGTTAATATCACGATTTTCAATTTGATTCCATTAGTCAACCTGTCTATTTCTGTTCTAATACCAAGCTGTTTTCATGACTATGGCTGTATAATAGAGCTTGAAGTCTGGTATGGTGATAACTCTGGAAGTTCCTTTATTGTAGAGGGTTCTTTTGGCTATCCTGGGTTTTTTGTTTTTTCCATATGAAGGTGAGCACTATTCTTTCATGGTCTTTGAAGAATTGTGTTGGGATTTTTATGGGAATTGCATTGAATCTATAGATTGCTTTTGGCAAGATTGCCATTTTTACTATGTTGATCGTACCTATCCAAGAGCATGGGAGATCTTTCCATTTTCTTGTATCTTCTTTAATTTCTTTCTTTAAGGATTCAAAGTTCTTATTATACAGGTCTTTCACATTTTTGGTTAGCATTACCTCAATATATTTTATATTGTTAATTGCTATTGTAAAAGGTGATGTTTCTCTGAC